AGAAATTCTGTTACATTGCTACAACATGGGTGAACTTTCAGAAATTAACCATAATTTCTGAAAGTTCACCCATGTTGTAGCAATGTAACAGAATTTCTAACTGTGAAATTAGTGACAAAAAGACAAATACACGGGGTGCCTGGGTGGCTCAGTGGGTTAAAACCTCTGCCTTCGGCTCAGGTCATGATCCCAGGGTCCTGGAATCGAGCCCCACATCGGGTTCTCTGCTCAGCAGGGAACCTGCTTCCTCCTCTCTCTCTGCCTGCCTCTCTGCCTACTTGTCATCTTTGTCTGTCAAATAAATAAATAAAATCTTAAAAAAAAAACCAAAACAAAAAGACAAATACAGTATGACCCCTCCCATTTAAAAAAATGTTTATTTTTTTTTGGAATCTTGACACCCAACATGGGGCTCAAACTCACAACCCTGAGATCAAAAGTTGCATGATCCTCTTACTGAGCCAGCTGGGTGCCCTGTATGATCCCACTTACATGAGGTATTAAAAGAGTAAAATTCATAGAAACAGAAAGTTGAATGGTGGTTAGTTACCAGAGGGAAGGGAAAATGGGGAGTTGTTTCATGGGTACAGAGTTTCAGTTTTGTAAGATGAAAAAGTTCTGGATCGGTAGCACAACAATGTAAATATACTTCACACTCTTGAAATGTACACTTAAACATGGATAGGGTGGTAGATTTTATGTTACATGTTTTTTACAATTAAAAAGTATAAAATATAACATTTCAACTATACAAAATAATTAAAATATTTAAAGACTTTTTATTTTTATTTTTTAAAAGATTTTATTCATTCATTTGACAGAGAGATCATGAGTAGGCAAAGAGGCAGGCAGGTGGGGGGTGGGGAAGCAGGCTTCCTGCTGAGCAGAGAGCCCAATGCAGGACTCATTCCCAGGACACTGAGATCATGACCTGAGCCAAAGGCAGAGGCCCAACCTACTGAACCACCCCGGCACCCCTTTAAAGACTTTTAAAAAATATTTTATTTATTTATTCATGAGAGACAAAGTGAGAGAGAGAGTGGGAGAGGCAGAGGGAGAAGCCGACTCCCCGCCAAGCAGGGAGCCTGATCCTGGACTCAAACCCAGGACCCCGGGATCACAACCTGAACTGAAGGTAGAAGCTTAAACGACTGAGCCATCCAGGTGCCCCAGAATAAATTAAATACTTAAAACACTAAGTGAACAGGTCAGATGACAAGTTAGAGGAACTTAATAAAATAGAAGATAGATTGTAGAAATTATTCAGAGTATAATACAAAGAGATGTTAGGAAATGGGAATGATGCAATGAGAAGGTCTAACATATAGACAACTGGTTTCTAGAAGAAAAGAATGGAAAACATGAAAAAGAGAATTATTCAAAGATAAAGCACCTGAGAAATTTCCCAGAATTGATGAAAAATATGAATGCTTCGATTCAGAAATCAGAATGAATCCAGGATAAAAACAAGTAAAAAATATATATAATAAATTCACCCTACCTTCTTTTTAGGGAAACTATAGGAGATCAAAGATATACTATAGTTAAAAAAAAAAAGGCTATAGTAAAACTATCTAGGAGAGCCTGGGAGGCTCAGTCAGTTGACATCCAACTCTTGATTTTGGCTCAGGTTGTGATCTCAGGGTTGTGGGTTGCACTGTGTGCTGGGCATGGACCCTGCTTGGGATTCTCTCTCTACCTCTCCCTCTGCTATTCCCCCTCTCTGCTCTCTAACACTCTCTCTTTCTCTCTCTCTCTCTCTTAAAAAAAAAAAAAAAAAAAGAGTATCTGTGTATCCAGAGAGCAACCCAGATGAACAACCAATGACTGAAGGCGGTAGGTGAAATGGATAAATAAATATTGTACATCAGTACATGAACTACTCAGAGCTAGAAAGAAATGAGGGCTCAAGTCATGAAAAGACATGGAGGAAACTTAAATGCATGTTACTAAGTGAAAGAAGCCAATCTCGAAAAGGCAACATACTGTGTGATTCCAAATAGTAAATGACATTCTGGAAAAATGCAAAAAAAATTCTGCAAAACTATGGAGATACTAAAAAGATCAGTAATTGGAAGGGGTTACTGAGGAGAGAAGGATGAAAAAGGTGGCACACAGGATTTTTAGGAGAGTGAGAGTGAAACTATTCTGTATGATCCTATAATGGCAGATACATAGCATTATACATTTGTCCAAATCCATATAATGTACAAAACCAAGAGTGAATCCTGGTGAAATCTGAGTGATAATGATGTTAATATAGATTCATTGATTCTAACAAATGTACCAGTCTGGTATGGGATGTTTGATAGAGTCTGTGTTTAGGTGTCAGGGGGGTCTTTTAGTGTTCCCAGACCCAATGTGGAGGGGTTCCCCACGCAAAACACCAGGCAATACTTGGATACCAGCAGAGTGCCCAAAAATCTAACTCAACTCTGACACAATTTACCCAGAGATAGCATGAGATTCCACAGGTAAGGGATCAGTCCTACAAGATTGCCCCCACCTACCACTTGGACACGAGTCGAGAGCCCCAGGCTATCACCTGTGCTTCTAACCTACTGGCTACAGACTGGATATTCCAACAACCTCCTCCTTAGGTTGGGTTAACTTGCTAAAGCGGCTCACAGAACTCAGGGAAATGCTCACTTATGTTTTCCAATTTGTTAAAGGATATGATAAAGAAAAAGATATGATAAAGAAAAAGCTATGATAAAGATTATGAGTCAACAGTCAGATGAAGAGATACATAGGGCAAGTTCCCCAAAAAAAGGAGTTTCTGTCCTTGTGGAGCGTGGGGACTGGCCTGGTGGCATGTGGAAACATGATTCCCCGAGTGTGGAAGTGCTCTGAAAAAAAAAAGAAAGAGAGAAAGAAAGAAAAAGCTGTCTTCTTGGGTTTTTATGAAGGTTTCTTTTTTTTTTTTTTTTAACATTTTATTTACTTATTTGGTGCAGAGAGACAGAGACAGAGATCACAAGTAGTCAGACAGGCAGAGAGAGAGGGGAAGCAGGCTCCCCACTGAGCAGAGAGCCCGATGTGGGGCTTGATCCCAGGACCCCGAGATCATGGCCTGGGCCGAAGGCAGAGGCTTAACCCACTGAGCCACTCAGGCGCCCCTTATGAAGGTTTCATTACATAATCATGATTGGCTAAGTCATTGGCCATTGGCTGATTCTGCCTTTAGCCCCTCTCTCTCCCTGAAGGTCAAGGATGGGACTGAAAGTTCCAACCATTTAATCCCAAGGTTTGTCCATCTAGCAATCAGACCCTACCCTTGGGTGGAGTCCAAAAGTCACCTTCAGTAATAAGATACCCATTTCACTTTTATGGCTCTGAAGCATTTTCAAGAACTGTGGAGGAAGACCAAATACGTCTGAGAAATATAGGACTAAATACACATTTCTTATAATCATTGTATCATAGGAGGTAGATAGGAATTTTCTGTACTTTCCACTCAATTCTGCTATGAATCTAAGACTACTCTAAAAAGTGAAGTCTATTAAAAAAAAAAAAAATCAACCCAAAGGCAGTGGGGGAAACCTACCCAAACATCCAGAGAGAAAAAACAAACAGCTAACAAAAGAACAATAATTACCGGACAGCAAACATCTAAAAACAAAATAGCACTTTAAAAAAATTTATTTTATTTACTTATTTTGTTTTTTCTTTTTTTCTTTTTAGGAGTTTATTTATTTATTTGACAGAGAAAGATACAGCGAGAGAGGGAACACAATCGGGGGAGTGGGAGAGAGAGAAGTAGGCTTTCCAGTGAATGGGGAAGCCCAACTCGGGCCTTGATTCCAGGACACTGGCTGGGATCATGACCCGAGCCAAAGGCAGATGCTCAACCACCCAGGTGCCCCTGTCTTGGTTAATCTTATACTTCCTGATATTTATTGGTTGAAATTCTGTAGGCCCCTTCTCATTCCAATTTCTTTTTGCTTATGAGTAGAGAAAGGCAGGCTAAGATTTCAAAAAGTTTTACTTACAGCCTGGACCCTTCTCAGGAACTCTGGATTACTATCTGAATATTACCACTGGAACGTCTAAATGAGCATTTCAAACTTATATGTCTCCAAATCAAGCTCTTGATTTAGTTCTTCCAATTTACTAGTCTTGCAGTCTTTCCTATTGCAGAAAATGACAATACCATCGTTTCGGACGCAAAAGCCAAAAACTTGGAAGTATCCTTCATTTTTCAATTAGCAATAATCGTGCCTCAGATAAACCTCATTGGCTACAATACTGCCTCTGCGCAAAGCTCATCCTTCATTTTTGAAAAATTTTCATTTAAGTAAACCCTATGGCCAATGTGGGGCTCAAACTCACGACCCTGAGATCAAGAATCACATGTGCCACTGACTGAGCCAGCCAGGTGCCCCATGCATCCTTCCTGTTTTCCATACGTCATGTCCTGTTCACCAGGGATATGTCCATGTCTAACCTTTCAAAATATATCTACAATCTAACCGCTTCTCATTACTTCCACACTGGTCCAAGTCTCCATTATCTTTCACTTGGGTCACTGCAGTAGGCTCTTTAACAATCACATGTGGTAGGCGCGCAATAAGTAGTTACTGAATTTGTACATGGAGCAGTGGCCAGGTATGGGTTCTCATTGGCTCTTTGGTGATTCGTGGTTAAAATATGGCAACATATTTTGGAGAGAGAGTGGGAAGAAGTAATATTTGGGCAGCAAGGACCTTGGGCTCCTGGAGACAATGGGGGAAGTTGAAACAAACATGACAAATGCAGGAGAGAGGAGTTAGTGGAATCTGAGCTTTGAGTGGAAATCAGCAAAGGCACTCCCAGGCACTGAGTGCCCGGTCCCTGCTGTTGTGATTGCCCATTCTTTCCCCATATAGAGATTGGGTGGATACCCTGTTTCCCTCTGCTGACCAGTCCACCCTGGGATCCTGTGACGTGATCTTCAAGAAGTCCAGGCAGATGAATGACCTTTGCTGAACATCAGGTAAATAGAACAGTTTTCCTTCTGAACTTTGGGGGTGGTGCATCCTGTGGTGGGAGGGAACGGAGCAGATGGGACAAGCTCCTGGAACTGGGGCTGGAGGAGAAAGGTAAGGAAAGCACGGAGGTGTGGCCTGGCTTGGGATCCTTCCTCCTCCTTCTCCTGTGCTATTCCATTCTCCTTCAAAGTTTCCCAATAGGAGATCCTGCAGCTGCTTCCAAAAGCTTAGGTCTTCTGCTTGCTTTGAGAGTCCTTCCTTCCAGAAGCTCATTCATTGTTCTTTGCCCTCTTTTCAGTCATTCTTTCAGTGAACACCTAAAGCCTGTTTCCCTCGGTCACCAGGGGCTCTTTTCCAGACTGGCTCAGGGAGTATGGTTTGGGGAAAGTGCCTGGCTGGATCTCCTACATGTTGAGTTCAATTTCCTCCTTTGGGTGTGTTTCAGCTTCCAGCTGGGATTTTTGCCACAGCAATTATAACAACCACAATCTGCATGGAGGTTCTTAAAGCTATATAAGCAGACAAAAACCTGAAAGGAATTCTTTTTTTTTTTTTTTTTTTTAAGATTTTATTTATTTATTTGACAGACAGAGATCACAAGTAGGCAGAGAGGCAGGCAGAGAGAGAGGAAGAGAAGCAGGCTCCCTGCTGGGCAGAGAGCCTGATGTGGGGCTCCATCCCAGGACTCTGGGATCATGACCTGAGCCGAAGGCAGAGGCTTTAACGCACTGAGCCACCCAGGCGCCCAGAAAGGAATTCTTAAGAAAAGACAAGCAGTTATCAGAATTTCCACTCCCATCAGACCCAGAAACTCTGTACTTCCCTGCCGGTAACTGCTTGGTGAGAAGTATTTAACCAGCTTGACTGCTCTCGATAACCACACTGAAATCAGATATCCTGAGGGAAAGGGAAGTTTCCCTCATCCCTATCTTGCTCTTCTTCCACCCTTCCCCATCCAGCCAGTAACACTGTTATTCACCTAGCTGTTTGAGAGAAAAAAACGAGAAGTTTGCCTTTATTGTTCCCTATCCCTCACCCTTCATCTTTTCTATCAATAAGTCCTGTTGCCTCTACAACATATGCCCAGAATCTACCTTGTCTCCACCACTTACTGACAATCGTCTTCATCTTGGGCAAGTGCAGTGCCTGCTAACTGGTTTCCCTGCTCACTCTTGTCCTGATACAGGCTACCATCCTCGCAGCAGCCCTAGCCACCTTTCAAGGACAAGCCAAATCCCCTTTCACATCACTCCAAATGCTCCCACTGAACTTTTGAAATTTTGATTCTCTTCTAACTTCTCTGGTTCCTCCTTCTCTTCTTCCTTCTCCTCCTCCTCCTCTTCCTCCTCCTCCTCCTTCTTCTTCTCCGGGATTGTGCACTGTGGGGGGAGGGGCAAAGTGAGAGAGAATCTTAAGCTGACTCCCCACTGAGCACAGAGTCCAGCAAAGGGCTGGATCTCATGACCCTGAGATCATGACATGAGGCGAAATCCAGAATCAGATGCTTAACTGCCTGAGCCACCCAGGTGTCCCCGATTCATTTCTAACTTCTTACCATGGTAACTGTGGGTCCAGCCTCTCTCTCCCATCATGCATCTACTGCTCTCTCCCTCAGCCACATGGCCTAGTCCGTTCCTTCAGTGTGTCAAGCTTGCTCCTGTCTCAGTGCCACAGGATTTGTTTTTGGCAATGCTTAAAATGCTCCATGAAGATTTCCTCATGCCTGGCTCCTTAGTATTTAGGCCTCAGTTCTATACTGTTGCTCCATAATGAAAACTTTTCAAAACTCAGTGGCTTCAAAACAGCAGTCATTTATTTTGTTTATATATCTGTAATTTGGGCAGGGCTTGATGGGAAAGATGCATTTTGGCTCCACGCAGCATCAGCTGGGGCAAATTACCCAAGAGTGGGGGTCTGCTTCTGAGGTGGCTCACCCACGTGGCTGGCATGTTGGTGTTGGCAGTGGTCCACGACTAAGGCAGGGTGGAGGCATGGGGGCCTTGGTTGTTCATGCAGATTGTCTTTCCTGACCTCAGAAGTCACAAAGCATCACTTCTGTTGTACTTTACTAGTTCAGCAAGTCAAAAGCCCTGTCCAAGTTCAAGTGGAGTGAACATGGACTCTACCATTTGAGGAGGGAGTGTCAGGGTTCATACAGAAATAGAAAGATTGCTCTTCTGGATAATTCTGGGTAATGCTATCTGCCACAGCTACGTCCTTAGTGTCACTCTTACTGACCACCCTATATAAATTAGCTCTTCCTCCCCACCCCAAATAGCCATTATTTATCATTTTAGCCTCTGGTCCCTTCATAGTTCCTACCATTATCTTAAATTATCTTGAATGGGGCATTTGGGTGGCTTAGTCTGTTAGGCGTCCAACTCTCGGTTTTGGCTCAGGTCATGAGGTGGGGCTCTGCACTCAGCAGGGAGTCTGCTTGAGGATTCTCTCCCTCTGTCTCTCCCTCACTCCCACTTGTGCAAGCATGTGCGCTGGCTCTCTCTTTTTCTCAAATAAATATTCCAAAAAGGAAAAAAAAAAAGATGTCTATTTATTTATTTGCTCACTTTCAGCCTTACACAAGAATATCCATCCTCTGAGAATAAGAGCCTTGCACGAAGAGAGGCAGACAGGAGGCTGACGTTCTAAGCTCTGGCAGTTGCAGTCACAGAGGTGATGGCTATTTAGAGATACATGTTTGGAGACGTCAGTGTTTAGACAGACTGACTATGAGGGATGAGGGGAGAAAGGAGGACATTGGGTTGCTGGTCCCTCTCAGATGGAGAAAGGGCATGGAACTGAGGGTGTCCCTGGCTCAGGGTTCCCTGGCGGAGGCCATGCTGAGAACTATATCCTGGGGTGGTGGTGTTTGTAAGGGGAGACTGGCTAGATGCACACTGAATCCCTTTCCTCTTTTCCCCAAGCTTCCAGCCACATTTCCCAGCCCTCCTGCAGTTAGATGGGGGCCAGGCAAAGCTGTGTCAGAGAAATGCAAGTGGAAGCTGATGTGGACCTCTCTCTGGGGTGGCCAATTGAGTGCCACCCTGTAAGATTCGGCAGCCCCCTTTCCCTTCCCTATAGGCTGTGTGTTAAGGATGACCGCATCACAGAGAGGGCAGGGCCGGGCTCTGAGCGATTATGTGGAGCAGAGACCCACTCCCTCACCACCTTTCTTATTTTATGACACCAAATTTTTGAAGAGACAAGGACAGTTGTACAGTGAGTGTCCTCACGTTCAGGATTGATCTCAATGTTTCTTCTTCTTCTTCTTCTTTTTTAAGATTTTATTTATTTATTTGACAGACAGAGATCACAAGCAGACAGAGAGGGGGAGAAGCAGGCTCCCCGCTGAGCAGAGAGCCTGATGCGGGGCTCGATCCGAGGACCCTGGGATCATGACCTGAGCCAAAGGCAGAGGCTTTAACCCATTGAGCCACCCAGGTGCCCCGATGACCTTGGCAGTCTTAAAGAGCACCAGTCCCTTTTATACCATGCTCTTTTTTTTTTTTTTTTTTTAAGATTTTATTTATTTATTTGGCAAAGAGAGAACTCAAGTAGGGGGAGTGGTAGGCAGAGGGAGAGGGAGGAGCAGGCTTGTGCTAGAGAGGAGCATCCTGTTGCAGGGCTTGATCCCAGGACGTGGTGTCATGACCTGAGTGGAGGGCAGACTCTTAATGACCGAGCCACTCAGGTGTCCCTGTCTCTTTTTCTTAAAGATTCATTTATCTATTAGAGGGAGGGAGAGAGAGAGAGAGAAGAGCGGTGGGAGGGGCTGATGGAGAGGGAGAGAGAGAAAATCTCAAGCAGACTTCACACAGAGTTCGGATCCCCTGACACGGGGCTAGATCTCATGACCCTGAAATCATGACCTGAGCGGAAACCAAGAGTCAGATGCTTAACTGAGTGCACAAACCAGCTGCCCCAACTTGATCTCAAAGTTTTGCTGTTGTTAGTTACATCAGTGGTTCTCAACTGACAATGATTTTGCTCCCTACATGATATCTGGCAATGCCTGGAGACATTTTTATTGTCACAACTGTGGGAGCATTACCAGTGTCTAGTAGGTAGAGACCGGTGCTGCTGCTGACTACCGTGCAATGCATACCACTGTCTTCTACTGCAAAGAATGATCGGATCCAAAATGACATTGGTTCCACCTATGTTCCCCTTTGTCCACTAGGTAAAAGCAGCTCTATTTCCTTCTGCAGATCAGGGTCAATTGTCTTTTCCAGTATGGTGACTCTTTCTTTCACTGGCAGGATGCTTGTGAGGAGCTATAGCTTGCCATTCAAAGGGAACTTGTCTGCCCCCTTGGGTGCCAGAACCTCCCACCTTGCAGAGTTCAGAATTGCAGGCACAGGAAGCACAAACTGGGTCACGGGAGAGATGGTTAATGGGCCACTACTGCTTCCATGCTTTGGTTCCCAAACCCAGGAGGATGTTCTGTTCCACTGCAGCTTACCTTTTCTGGCTTAGCTGTCCGATGGTCTCTTGGCTGCCTACACTCCAGTCTCACTTTGCTGCTCTCCTGCCCTGTCTCCTCTGTCTCCGACTTGGATTAGTTTTGTCTCCTCAGACTGCCTTTAAGCTCCTGCCACCAGGTCTCTGGCTTTCCCCCTCCCACCTCTGGGAGGCTTCACGAATTCCTCAGGCGCTCAGGAAGTTACGACCAGCACCTGTATAAGACGTGAGTTCTAGTGCTATGGAAGGGCTGCACAGACCTTTGTCCGGCTAAAATGTCCTGAGGCTGTACGTTTACAAAGAACAGGGCAGACTTTTGGAGGAGGAACGCTTAGTGCTGAGTTAATCTATCTAATTCTTGTTATATCAATGCTTTGGTTGGAATGGCGTATTTTATAGAATATACTGTGAGCCCCGCCAGGGCTGGTTGGGGTTTTTTTTTTTTGGTGTCATTGTTGTTTCTTTTGAATGGGTAATTATTCACAGTGTTCAAAGTTCAAAAGGCACAAAACAGTATTCAATGAAATGTTTCCCTCCTACCTCTATTTTCCAGCTGCCCAAATTCCCCTTTCTAAGCACAACAAATGTTTTCAGTTTTTCCAGATGCCATAACACACACATTTATATTTGTTTAGCCACGTGGTAATATACTATACAATTGTTCAGAACCTGGTGTGTATGGTTTTTGAAAATCTAACAGTGTATCTTATAGCTTATTTCCTCATTCTCTTTTTACTTTTACTTTGTTGTGTGTGTGTGTGTGTGCGGGGGTGTTTGTGAATGTAGTAATTTATTTAACTAATCAACTAATTGATGGGTGTTCAGTTTTTTTTTTTTCTAAATGTCTGAGATTACAAACTGTTACGTGAATAATTGTGTACATTCTAGGTGTAGGAGTCTATCTGTAAGATAATAGCTGGGTCAAAAAGCATTTACATCTGTCATGTGAATTTTTTTTTTTGGACTGTATTCCCTATGCTGTACTTTTCATCGCTATAACTTATTTATTTTATAACTAGAAGTTTCTATTTCTTAACACCCTTTATCTGTTTCATCCATACCCCCACCCACCTCCCGTTCGGCAACAACCAATTGCTTCTCTGTATTTAAGAGTCTGTTTTCTGTTTTGTTTGTTTGTTTTTTAGATTCCACATATAAGTGAAATCATGTGGTATTTGTCTTTTTCTGTCTGAATTATTTCACTTAGCACGATATCTTCCTTCCAAATCACCTTCCTTAGAGACTGTACAGATTAGCCTTCTGCTCTCAGTGTCCATTTCTCCAGAGGTTTACCCACACAAGGTGTTAGCAAACATTTTTAATCTTTGCCAGTATGAAAGGACAAAGTTAATATCTCAGTGTTTTCTTTTTAAAAAGATTTTATTTATTTATTTGAGAGAGAATGAGCATGAGAGAGAGAAAGAGAGCATACAAGTGGGGTGGGGGGGTGTGGACGGAGAGGGAGAAGCAGACTCCCCACTCTGCAGGAAGCCCAATGCAAGACTGTAGCCTGATATGAGATTTGATCCCAGAACTCTGGAATCATGACCTAGGTGGAAGGCAGATGCTTAAAGCCTGAGCCACGCAGGCATCCTCTCAATGTTGTTTTGTGTTAATATTAGCCATATGAAGTTGCTGGATTTTTATGTAAAAATAATTGTTGAATATCAGCAATTTTTGTGGTTTCTTTCACTGTGAGATGGAGAATTAATTAATTAATTAATTAATTTTAGAGAGAGAGAGGTGTGTGCACGTGGACATACATACATACACACACTAGGGTGGGAAGAGGCAGAAGGAGAAGGAGAAAGAGAATCTTAGGTAGGCCCCATGCCCAGCATGGAGCCCAACTTGGGCTCTGTCTCATGACCCTGAGATCATGACCTAAGTTGAAATCAAGAGTTGGATGCCCAACCAGCCGAACCACCCAGATGCTCCCTTTTTGGCATTTCTAATCTTATCTCATATCTATTTATTTGTAAAGAGTTTATTTATTTGAGTGAGAATGAGAGAGAGAAAGAATGAGAGAGATCACAAGTAGGCGGGAAGGGTAGAGGGAGAAGCAGACTCTCTGATGAGCCGGGAGTCCCATGTGGGACTCAATCCCAGGACTCCGGGATCATGACCAGAGCTGAAGGTAGACGCTTGACTGACTGAGCCACCCAGGTGCCCCTATCTTATTTTATTTTTTATTGAAGTATAATTAACTTGTGTTTTTAATTTAATGCATCTTGTAGATTTTTCCACATTGGCACATATAGATTTGCCTCACTAACTTCAATGGCTACACAATCTTTCACTGGATAAATGTATCATACTTTATTTAACTATTCCTCTGTTGGTGGACATTTAGGCTGTTTCCATCTTTGACAAGACAGCCCCAACCTTCTTATTCATGAGTCTTTGTGCAAATGTGCAAGTATATCTTTAGGATAAGCTCCTAGGTGCACCTGAGTGGCTCAGTGGATTAAGCCTCTGCCTTCGGCTGAGGTCATGATCTCAGGGTCCTAGGATGGAGCCCTGAATTGGGCTCTCTGCTCAGCAGGGAGCCTGCTTCCCCCTGCCTCTCTGCCTACTTGTGACCTCTCTCTGTCAAATAAATAAATAAAATATTAAAAAAAAAAAAAAGGAGAAGCTCCTAGAAGTAGAATTGCTGGGCCAAAAAATAGGTGCATTTTAAGATTTTGATTGATATTGACTAACTATTCAGATAACAGTTCGAATTAGCTCTTCTGGGAGGAACGGAGTGCAGTCCTCCCCAGTTCTGTCCTGCGACTCATCCAGCATTCTGAAGGACTCACCGCTTTTGGACGTTTGGTCTGATTTGACAATATAGGTCTGAAGGTGTCGCTCATTGACACAATGTTTCTAAAATTACAGTTTATTTTATAGAATGGATGCACCACAGTCTATTTAGTCATCTCCCTATTGTTGGATCTTTATTGAGTTAAACAGAGTTAAGTAGATAATCTTGCAAAGAGCCTTTTGGTGAACAGGTCAGCTCATTTTTTTTTTTTTTAAACTTGAGCTTTTTTTTTTTTTTAAGATTTTATTTATTTATTTGACAGAGAGATCACAAGTAGGGAGAGAGGCAGGCAGAGTGAGAGGGGGGAAGCAGGCTCGCCGCTGAGCAGAGAGCCCGATGTGGGGCTCGATCCCAAGACCCTGGGATCATGACCTGAGCAGAAGGCAGAGGCTTTAATCCACTGAGCCACCCAGACGCCCCTCAGCTCATGTTTTTGTCCAGTAGTTGCCCAATAATATAATAATGGCTGACACTTAGTGCATACTTGCTATGAGCCAGGTCCTGCTCTAAACCCTTTGTGATGTATTTTCTCAAAAAGCCTATGAGTTGGATATCATTATTATTAGTTTAATTTTATAATGTGAAAGCTCAGGCATACAGGTAAAAAATATTTCTGGGGCCCTGGACCTGAAAAGGGATGTCAATCTAGTGGCACCTGTCAATCTAGTGGCACCTGAATAGCTCAGATGATAGAGCATACTCTTGTTCTTGGGGTTGTGAGTTTAAGTCCCACATTGGGCATGTAGAGTTTACTTCAAGAAAAGAAACCCAAACAAACCCAGTCAGTCTAGCTCCAGTCGGTGGTCTCAGATGGAGATATTTGGCTTAAAGTGTAACCACATTTAAAAATGAGATGTTGTCAAATTATTCTCCAGGAAGGTTGTGGCATTCTCCAGTCCCACTAGAGTGAAGGTGAAAAGGCCCTTTTTTCCTCCAAGCAGGGTATCTTTTTCATTCCCATATCCTGGGTGTAGGGGATATGAAAATGAAATACACCCAGCAGAAGGTGCAGCATGAAGCAGGTGGGTGCCCTGGACTGGTGAGCAAAAGGATGGCTGGCTGGCTGGCTGGCTGGCTGAAGGGGGGCAGACAGGTGTGGAGCGAGGGTGCCTGGGTACATCAGAAGAACCAGAGCCTGGAGTGGTCCTGCCTTGAAAACTCATTCACTTAATACAGTGTGAAGCGTTAATTTTTCTGCTCTTACCGCAGCTAGCTGCCTGGCCCTCCTTGCCCCTTCTTTTAGGTCTGAAGTGTCTCCCTCTGAGAAGCCTTCCCTGACCACGCTGTAGGAAGAATCCTCACCTCACTCGACAACTCCTTACTCCTCTTACTCTGCTGTAGTTTCCCCCGTTGCATTTATCCCTCCTGACATCTCCGTACTTCGGTCCTGTTTATTGCCTGTCTTCCCTGCCTCCCCTCGCTGCCCTCACAACAGAATAGAAAGCTCACAAGGGAAGGGTTTTTATCTGTCTGGTTCACTCATTTATCCCCAGTGCCAAGGACATTTCCCAGCATTAGCAGGCGCTCAATCAGTATTTGGTGACTATGGCATTTATTATTCACTGTTCCAGGAAGTGAAGGTGCAGCGGCCAGCGAGGCAGAGGACCTGCCCCCAGTGCCCGGCATGCATCCTGCTGGCAGTAGCATCCGGAGAACTTCTCCCCACCCTGGGCTCAAGGTCCCTGGGCTCTTTCTAAGGAAGTGTGACCGGTAGAGCCCCTCCCCCGGCTCGGCTCCGCCCCCGGCGGCCAGCCCGCCCTGCAGCGCCCCCTGGCGGGCTTCGTTGCCCGGGCGTCCCTGCGGCGTGAGTGCGCCCCTAGTTCGGCGGCGCGCAGGACCTCCCCCCCCTGCCACCCCCAACCCCGGCTGCGGCGCTGGGAACCCCGGGAGCTCCCGGCCCGTTTCCTCCCGACCTTCAGACACTTCTGCTTTTGCCGGGAGCGAGAAGAGGAAGGAGGGCAAAGGGAGGGCGGAGCGCCGGGCGAGGCCGGCGGGGAAGAGGAAGGGAGGTCGGGGTTCGGGCGTCTTCTCCCACGGCGTCATCCGCAAGACGTGGCTTTTCAAGTGCGAGTTCCCCTCAGTTTTGGACGGCCTGGCTTTGCCCCGAGCCCAGCTCAGGTCTCATCTTCCGCCCCTTCTCCGCGCGGGAGGCGAGGGGCGGCTAGGTCAGAAGGCAGTGGTGAGAGACGTGCCAGCGTCCCAGGTACCCGACGTCCCTCGGTCCTGAACTGGGGCTTGGGGGGTCAAAGCAGTTGGGTGTCTCCGTGTTTGGGGTCCAGCTCCACGGTCCACAGGCACCAGGCGCGTCCCGTCGAGCGCCCAGTGGGTGCGCGTCCTGCCCCGCGACCTGTGGCAGCCGGAGGAGAGGTTAGGGCGCCACCTGGCGGCTGCCTTCCGCCGCCCAGACTTGCCTTTGGGGTCACTTGGCGGGGGGATCCTCGTGTTGGGCGTCTCCTTCCAGGCCCGCCCCTAACACAGGATCCCCAGTCCATTTCACTTAGTGGTTGGGGGCCTGGATCACTGGAAATGTGCAGGGTGCGGCGGGATCAGTTTTGAAGAACTGAGGAATGACAAAACAGGATAGTTGTTTTTTTTTTTTCCAGAAAAGTTTTTTGTTTTTGTTTTTTTTTTAAAGACTTTATTTATTTATTTGGCAGACAGAGATCACAAGCAGGCAGAGAGGCAGGCAGAGAGATTGGAGCTGGGATCATGACCTGAGCTGGAGGCACAGGCTTTAACCCACTGAGCTACCCAGGCGCCCACAAAAACAGGATAGTTCTTGATGATGGAACTCTTTTGTTTGCCTTTGTGGATGGTGTAGTGACCCTCCCTCCTCTGTAGTCCGTTCCCCCCACCTCCCCCCACCCCGCACCCCATCTATATTGTTCCTTTTATTCTGGTTTTGAAAGGGCACGTGTGATTATGAAAAGAACGCATTAAAAACAAAGGGGCGCCTGGGTGGCTCAGTTGGTTAAGTGTGGATGTTTGATCTTCGGCTCAGGTCATGATCCCAGAATCCTGGAATCCAGTCCTGCATTGGGCTTCCTGCTCAGCGGGGAGTCTGTTTTCTCCCTCTCCCTCTCCCCCTGCTTATGTTTTCTCTCATAAACAAACAAACAAATAAAATCTTTTTTAAAAAATTTAAAAAGATTTTATTTTTTTGACAGAGACACAGTGAGGGAGGGAACAAAAGCAGGCGAAGTGGGAGAGGGAGAAGCAGACTTCCGGCTGAGCAGGGAGCCCCATGCGGGGGCCTGATTCCAGGACCCTGGGATCATGACCTGAGCTGAAGGCAGGTGCTTAAGGACTGAGCCACCCAGATGCCCCCCAACTTTTTTTTTCCCCTAAGGGGTTTTGCCTGAGGTTTTTCAGTTCTCTTTTTGCATATTGTGATGAATTTTTTTTGTCCTTTTTGTTCTTATAAGGTTCTTGCCCACTCAAAGAATTTTATTTTATTTTATTTTTTTATTTTTTTTTTAATTTATGAGAGAGAGAGAGAGAGCGAGCACAGGCAGACAGAATGGCAGGCAGAGGCAGAGGGAGAAGCAGGCTCCCTGCAGAGCAAGGAGCCCGATGTGGGACTCGATCCCAGGACGCTGGGATCATGACCTGAGCTGAAGGCAGCTGCTTAACCAACTGAGCCACCCAGGCGTCCCAAAGAATTTTATTTTATTGTAGTAGGTTTACCTTGTTTTATTAGTAGTGTCTGTTATCATGCGTGAGCCCCTTTTTCAGTTGATTTGAGTTACAAAGGGCCATATGAGGGACGGGCCAAAGTTTGTGCGGTCTACTCCCCTGATTTAGTTAGGGGTGTCCAGTTTCAGAAGTCCAGGTCCTAATAGTAGCAAAGTTATGCTGTCCGCATTTTCTACCTTACATGGTACATGACTGTAATTGTTTGTTTCCTAATAAACACATGAAAATACCCAGTTCAACAGTTCTACCAATGTCATGCCCTAAAAAACAGGTATTCTCTTTCTGAGAGCTGACAATCTGGGTATGTCATGTAGTTCATTCAGGCAGCCTGTGGGTGGGCAGAATGGGGACAAGTCTGGGTCCAGAAGCTGAGGTTCCCAGTGATTCCTGCTCAGATGAGGCCCCAGGTTATTGTCTTGTGTGGTGGTTTCCAGGGTTTTGGAGTTCATGAACCTGGGAAGTATCCCCTGTAGTTACTGGGGAAACAGGATAGACTTGTTATTGCTTTGGCACATCGGGACATTAGCAAAAGCCAATTCTATGATCAGTTCAGAAAAGGAGGGGGCATTTTAACAGCAGCAATCTCTAAATGGAAGTTTTTCTCATTTCACTGAGGGCTGGTGGGGCAGTAAAGGGCACCATGGGTTCTGCTGGACATCTGGGAGCCGTGGATGGTTCCCTTTCAAGGGACTGGCTGCTACAAGAACCTTGAGGCCTTGGTGACCAAAGAGGGACAGCCACTTGGGAATGTACGTCTGAAAACAGAGACTTCACAGTATCAAGCTCAGCATTTCACCTCTCTGGTCTGTGGCTGGTCACCACCTCTGGACTCTGGGACTTTGGGGGACAGATCTCTGTCATTGCACTTCCCACATTGTTCTGTAGTTTTCACTGTCCACCCAAGAGCTAACTGGTTAAAGATGAGAACCTCCACAGATCTGACTGCTTGGTTGTCCAGCACAGTGTCCAACACTCAGCAAGTGCTTATTAAATGCTTATTGCCAGAATGAATTACACTCGCTTTCACCCTTTTGTCTTTTCAATTAAATAATTAAGGAAGTACTCATTGTAAGCTACTTTAAAATGAGAGGGGAAATGGCTAATTTCATGCTGAGAGAGGAAAAATATTTGCTAGTTTCCTCACAGGCTACTTTATAGCCACTTGATTTCCTTTAGGTTGTGTGTTTTCTGTTGGCCAATCTATACTCCACAAAACAGAGGTCCTGCCTTTCACTGTCCCACAGCCTCACTGCATGTTTGGAGAGGGAGAGGTTATAACAGCATTGCTCAGTGGACCTCTGACCAACAGAATCAGAGTTGTGTTGGTGGGGGGGGAGGTGAGGTCTGAAGGTTGGTTTTTGTTTGTTTTTTTAATCAGTTTACCAGTGATCCTAATGTGTATCAGGGACTGAGAACCGGTAACCTAGAAGCATCTCTTGGTGCTCTAGCAGCTGAGAGTAGGAAGGGATGAAGTAGGTAGACATCGTGCTTGAAGAAGGGCGACTGGGTTTGCAGGACTCGTCCCCGCCTTGTTGTGGTTTTACCTTTTGTAAAGGGGAGGATGATGATGGCTGTCCATAGGATTGTTGTTGGGGTTATCTGAGTTCCTGGCACTGAGTTAGTGCTTGTGATGGTCATTTTATTTATTTATTTAATTTTTTGAGTAGGCTCCATGCCCAATGTGGGCTTCAACTCATGATTCTGAGGATCAAGAGTCACATGCTCAGGGTGCCTGTCTGCCTCAGTCGAAAGAGCATGCAACTCTGGATCTCAGGGTCATGAGTTTGAGCCCCCCACATTGGGAATAGAGATTACTTACAAACAAACAAACAAACACCTTAAAAATAAGTAAATAAAATTTTTTTGAAGAAAAAAGTCACATGCTCTACTACCTGAGTCAGACAGGTGCCCCTGCAATGGTTATTTTTATGTGTCACTGGTCTAGGCTATGATACCCAGTTGTTTGATCAATCACCAGTCTAGATGTTGCTCTCTCATTATTTTTCAGATGTGACTGACATCGAAATTAGTAGACTTTGAGTAAAGCAGATTATGTTCCAATAATGTGAGAGAACCTCTAAAGAGTCGAAGGCTTCAGAGGAAAAGACTGAGGTCCCCTGAAGAGGAAGGAATCCTGCTTCTAGACTGCCTTTGGACTTGAGCCTGGAACACCGACTCCTACTGCATTTTCCAGCCTGTTGGCATGCCTTGCAGGTTTCAGGATTTCAGACTGGCCAGCCCCCATCATCGCATGAGCCAATTCCTTAGTCTCTCTCTCTCCTTCTGCTCTGGAGAACTTTGCCAGGGCTCAATGAATGGTGGCTGCCGCTCTTGTTTTCTAACTCAGCAGTGGCTCGAGCTGGTTTGGGTTAATAAGGCCATGGCTTTACAGGTCAGAGCAATGGGCATTATTGTAAGGAAGTGGTAGCAATGAGCTCCCACTGTAGCATTCCAGAGTGTGAAGTCAGATGCAGCGATAAATGCTTGGTGCAGAAATCCTTGTCTCCTTCATCCGAAATACAGAGACTTCCCTCAGGAGGGGAGTCCTGTGGCATATGGCACAGAGCCCCAGACCCAGGGTCTGGAGGCTTGGCTTTGGCACCTGGCTGTGTCACCAACTTACTGTGTGCCCTTGGGCAAGCCTCCCCTGCTTTCTCTGGTTTTTTGGCTTCCTGAGGGACTTGGGCTGGGCAGTTGTGGAAGGAGCTTTCTGTCTCAGAGCCTCTGAGTCTAGAGTTTCCTCTGGTGCTTCGACTTGCAAAGCAGGTTTCCCCGCCAGTTTGTTTGTTTACCTGCTGGAGTTTGGTTTCTGCTTCCTAAGTGGTTGCAGGTTGGGCCACTTGTATTTATGCTCAATAGAGAGGCCACAGGGCTGAATCGTGGTTGCCCTA